AACTTATGCCCGCACCGGTAGTAGCTAAACGGGGTTGGGAAATGAGAACGCAACAAAAATCAAGTTATGAGTTTTCATATTTGGCGCCCCACTAAAACTCTGCACTGGGTCGCTATTTTGTTTGCTTGTGACACTGCTGCTCTGCTTCGCACTTTTTCTGTTTACGTTTCGTGGTTAAGTTTACGTTTCGATTTGTTTCGCAGTGCATTAAATTTCATTTTTTTTGAGGATGAATACCAAAGCAAGAGGAAAAAGCTGGACATCCGAAGAAGATACGGCGCTTTGTCTCGCGTGGTTGGATGTGTCCCAGGACCCCATCACAGGAACAAATCAGAAGGCAGAAACATTGTATGGCAGAATCCAGCAAATGTTTGCAGAAATCTGCCGGGAGAAAAACTTTGCTGTTGACCCCGAGCGGGGGGGGGGGGATTAATTTTACCTCAATCTCGCATGATGCAATTAATGGATGCTCCTCAATACATTCGACACTTTAATACTGAAGCCACAATTCAATTAGGGAGGATATCGAGTTTGAGTTGAGACAAGGCAAGTCAATTGATCAACTCAGTTGAATTCAATTGGCTTGAAAAGTTGAGCCTGGTTCAACTTTTTTCAATTCAAGTGAGTTGATCAAGTCAGTTGAATGGCATGGTTTACACGTTCAATTCGCATTCAAGTCAGTTGAATTCAACTGACTTGCCCTATCTAAACCCAGCTTTACGGAAGATGTAATGTTATAGAAAATGAACTTGAACCTGGCAGGGACGATACCATCTTCAAGAGTACATGCTCATACTTTGCCAAGTTTAATAACCCCATATTCATTATCGAGTTTGGGAGACCAGACTGTAGTGGTATTTATCAATCCACATTGCTTTATTTTTACCAGAATTTATACTCTAGTTTTTATTGAAGCTGTAGTGTAGATTACTGGAACATATTTGAAACCTGAAAATTCATCACTTTAATCTTCTTCCTCATCTTCTTCTCCTTTAATTGCCCATAGATGCTCTATTAGGTCATTCCTCAATTGAAAGTGCTGGTTAGTATCATGAACAGCTTTGTACCGCGACAAAAATGTCTCAAATTTCTCCTGATTTTCTGGACCTATCCGATGGATGTCAGCTGTAATTTCATCGATGTTGCTTTCAGGGTTCGCTTCACAGATCGTTGGATCATCTTTTTCATTTTCAATGACCATGTTATGGATAATAATGCAAGCTGTAATTATTGATTCCAAGACATCTTTTTGCCAGAGCCTAGTCGGTGTTTTAATGATTGCGAACCGCGACATCAATACACCAAACGCTCGCTCGACATCCTTCCGGGCAGACTCCTGCATTTGTGCGTAGTGCTGAGAATATGAGAAAATAACATGTATCAGATGTATCAGAGTCTAATTTTTCTTTGATAAAATTATATTAAAAAAAATCCTTGTTACCTTCTTTTTTAGTCCAACTGGAGAAGAAATTGTCTGTACCAATGTTGCTAGTGGTGGGTAAATACCATCTGCAAGATAGTAGCCAACGCTGTATTGTCGCCCGTTTACTGTGTATTTAGCAAGTGGAGCTCTGCCATTGTATATCTCCGAGAATAATGGAGAGCGGTCAAGAACATTAATGTCATTATTTGAACCTGGCATCCCAAAAAAGGCATGCCAGATCCAAAGATCGTAACTTGCTACTGCTTCCAGGACGATTGTTGTTTTTTTTTCTCTTTTCCGCGAAACTGGCCGGCCCATGCTGTAGGGCAATTCTTCCATGTCCAATGGCAGCAGTCTAAGGATCCTAGCATTCCAGGAAATCCACGACTCTTTCCAACACGCAACAACCTCTCCACATCGTCAGGTTTTGGGTAGCGTAGGTACTCGGGGCCGTAAATACGAACAGTGGTTTCACAAAACTCCCCAAGAGATTTCAGCGCTGTTGTCTCTGCCATCCTGATGTATTCATCTACAGCATCCGCTGGCATGCCATATGCAAGCTGACGGATTGCGGCGGTGCATTTTTGAAGGCCAGTTAATCCTAGTTTACCAGCCGCATCTCGCTTTTGCACGAAGTAAGGATTCGCGGCTTCTATTTCTGCAACAATCTTTGTAAACAAGTTTCGGGACATTCGAAACCGCCGCCGAAACTGTGAATCACTATACGTGGGATTCTCGGAGAAGTAATCATGAAACAGTCGCTCAGCTCATAGATGAGCACCTCTGTTGATATTCGGTTTTTTTCCAGGCCGAGATCCTCCAGCTCGATTTTTCTCGTCTTCTTCCAAAGCCCTTAACAACAGTTCATGTGACTGGTAAACATAATGATTTACAACTTCAATGTCTTCCTCGTCACTTAAAACGATGGAATCAGCTGCTCCCGGGAAACAATCTGCCGTCAATGCATTTCGAATATTCATGATATAACTACACAACTATTGCACATCGATCGACTGATAAAAATGAAATATTACATCAATATGACGATGTTCTTCGTGGGTATGTATATTGTTTTGAGTTTTAGCAATACACGATGAAAAGACATTACTCAAGTCACTAAACTCAAAATATGCATTACCGGTGGAAGAATGGGGTGCTAAGCTAAAATAGCTACCTAGATGGAGCCTTATTATATGGGATAGAGATAGCGCCTCCCGTGGCGGTGCTCTTATACTAGCATCCCTAGCCATTCTCTTGATGTTACCGCCAGTGCCACCACAAGGACCTTTCCATGTGAAGTTGGAAAAAGTGCCATTCTGCTGTGAGGTTAAAATCCTTGTCATGGCTACACAAGTTATTAAAATTAAATTTGTTTTTATACTGCTTTATGCAACAGTCTGACAGGTAAATATTTTTTTCAAGATCTGGAAATTTATCTCTTAGTTTTGAAAGTAATTTACATATAAACGTTTAAACCGATATTGTGTTACGTTTTTCATATCTGCTATTACAATGAAATTTAAAAGTTTTAAAGAGCAACCTTTACGAAAGGGTGAAAAGTTACTTGTGGCCTTGAAAAATAATAACTTTGGATCGATTCTTGGATCAAACAAGAATAGTTCTCAGCGAAATCCATTTTTTCTTTCCCTGCAACCAAAGTTTCTTTTTTCATCCTTACTTTGTTTTTCAACTTTAAATTGGTGAACTTATCAATTTGATTTTCTAACCTTTCTAAAAATTCGCTCACATCATCTTCCTTGCTTATTATTTCGCATCGAGGAGAGGTTGTTCAGAAATTATACTTAATTTTATCAATTTTCTGTTGGTCCAAATATTGTCCAACAAAATCGATCATGTTGCTTGAGTTGCACTAATCACAAGATCGCAAAAAGCAATCGTCTGTACTATTTACATATACTAATTTGTTAACCAAATATTTTTTTTTTAATTTATCAGTGTTACAATTTTTAAAACAAGCTGTTTTATGTAAAGCATCAAACAATTTTTTTTTGTTTTCATGTAAACGCAAACATCTGTAGTAAACACATATTGTTTTGGTTGAAGTTTCTAAAACAAGGTAAACGAAACCTGCTGTTCACTATCACATGAATCTAAAAACTGTTTATATAGTTCACTTAACGGAACCAGCAACGAGTGGCTTCTTCAAAATGTGATTGTATTTTGGTAAATTACCAACTTTTTTGTCAACAATTTGAGGATTTCAATATTTTGTTGTAATGTCTCCACTATTTGAAAAGCGTATTTTAAATTCATCAAAACAGATTCGAAATCTTCGTTCGCATCAGTAACCTCATCGGGAAACCTTATTGTGCCCACAATTTTTGAATACATTTAGCTAACTGTCCACGATAATTACTGCTTGAAGGATCCAGTCGTGAAGCGGCCAGTGTTCCTATCCTTTGTGGCCATCTTTCTAAGAAATTACAGCAATATGCTTGAACGTTGTAGTACGCTAACTTATCCATGAGTAGTCCTGTGGAAGTATAAAATGTGTTTTAGTGTTAAAGGTCTTTGAAGTGATTAATTTAAATTTTTGAATAATTAAGAACTTACGTTAATTTGACTTCCTGCAGAATAAACAAGGTGAATACACTTATGTCCGATTTTTAACACATTATTTGATGAATTTGATGATGAAATCCTATAACCAACAGTTACGGACTGATACTTCAACGAGCTTTAGCAACTCTCTTTATTAACATCAGGTATAATATCTTCAAAATATATCCCGTAATCTATACCTAAAAACGGTTTTCCAACGATCACCCGAACGATCTGTTTCATAATGTCGACCCAGTGTTTACTCGGCTGTCGACAGAAGCAGACCACTCTCAATGTGTGTCACGCGATCATCTGTTTACTCGGCAGCAACCATTATGTGGTCCTCCTCATTGTTCTTCATCAGCAGTTCTTTCAGTCGATGTGTCGTCGACTTTGGAAAGCAACCGTTTCGTGATGAATGTGTGAGTGCTGACCACGTTTTGCGTCTATTGCTACAATGGAAGCGCTCTGACCATCGTTGGCGAATCTGCCATACAAGTAAACTACTGGAAGCGGTTCCCGTTCTGGTAGAGGAGGCTTATTGGATAGCGGAAGATAAAATGTTTATTGTGTTGTACCTTTTGACTATAGTTTTAGGATGTATTGTATAGTGAACAAGAATCCGCGGCTCTGTAAAGTTAATTCGGTTGAGAACAATTTGATTTTTATAAAGAAGAGCGCTAGACCGGTCATCAGTTTTTCGGGCATATCTCAAAAACCGTATAAGATATCATCTTGAAATGTTCACCGAAAAAAAAATCCATGATACAGACGATAATTTTCACAGCTTTTCTTTTGGATTTTCTTTTATGGTGAAAACTTTCATGAAAAATTTGTTTCCAGTTGTATTTTTTTATCAATAGCTGACAAAATTACAAGTATTTTTTGTAAAGTGATTTTGACTGTGAAATAGTATAAACTGCGTAATTATATACCGCGAATTGGCTCATCGCGAATTGGTTGACCGCGAAATGGATTATCACTAAATGTTATAAAACCATAAAATCCATTCTAGGAACGTAACTCGTCGACACTTTTATTATCTTCGTTGATGATTCGAGTATTTGGAGTACAGCGTACTAAAGATTCAGAAAACTTGAACATTCGGAATAAGATGACGGGGCGCATATTTTTCTTAAGGTAGGTCAGGAATCAGTAGATAGACGTGATGCTTATGTTTTTCTTCTTATCTAGATATCCTCTATTGTACGATTTTTTCATAATGGAACTCGAAAAGGCAAGTCAAATTATTATGAAAGGTGCTAGAAGCAAGAAGCTACATCCTTTGTTGCTACTATTGAGTAGACTATACCCATCAGCACTTGAAGGAAGTGAATCAAATTTAAAGGTAAATATTTGTAATTATATAAATATAGGGTAAGTGCATCATATTTGGTCATTGTTCATTATTTTACTGTTCCTATCTTGTAAATGGACAAAGTTTTTTTTTTCTTTATTAACGAGATTTTTAGCCAGAGGCTAGTTCATCTCGGATTTACACTGAAGTTGCTTTTTACGTTATTTTCCTAATGTTATCACAAATCAAATGATATTTTTGCTTTGAGGGAAACGTTAACGATCTAATTCTAACAGTGAGTGAGCGGAATTACAAACCACGTGAAATAACACACGTTCACGGTAATCCAAACCCTTTTTTTTTTTTGGAAAATACAGATTTTTTAAACGTTTACCATGGGGACCGATATTCGTACACCTTATACAACAAGTATGCGTTGTGTATTAATTTTACGGTCCAATTTTTAGTGTGTATTTCGGTCCCGTACGTTAAACGCATGCTGATAGTGCATAAGATCCTAAAATTTAAAAAAAAAATAGTTTAGCATGTAAAATAAATATTCCATGATGGTTCTTATGCTTCTTAGGTAGTATACCCCCGTAAAAAGTAACTTATGTGTATTGTAGACCAAAGTTTGTACAGTTCATTTAAATAAATTGTAATGATTCGACAATTTGGTTTTTTTTTCTATTGGTTTCTAGTTATCTCGGTTTGTACCAATAGTATCGATTTGTTCGGGATGTGCAGAACTCCAGACGCGATATTTAGCGGCGAAATTTATCGCGATTATTGTTTCACCGGACCTGGTATTTGATCGAATATTTCTACTACTGGAAAGCTTGAACCGTTCGAATAACAAAGGAATCAACCCAAATTCTTTACATGGTGCTCTACTACAAATACTTTACCTGGTAAAAACTAGAACACTGGGCGTTATGCCCGAGTCAAGTAATCAACTGAACAACTGGATTGAGCTTTATACCGCTATTTCAAACTACTTGTTTGAGGTAAAGCCCAACTTTATTCTTTATGGCGCCATCATAGATATCCTGATAGAAATTTTAGCAAGGTAAAGTATGAAACATTTTCTTACTCTATTTCGTGTATGCATTTTGTAAACAACCTATTTCATATTTAACTGAATATTTTGGACATGTCTAAGACTAGCTATTTTTTTAATCAGTGCTGATAAAAATCATTAATCCAAAAATCAACCATTAAAGATAAAATATTCAGGCTGATGACAGGGTGAAGAAGTTGTCTTAATTTCACTCGATCCATAGCTGCAAGTCGTCAGCCACACCGTCTGTGGAAGGTCTGCATGTCGCCTTCCACCTTACCCGCGCCTTTTCATCTTATTTCAGTCAGGTAGCTATCAAGAATCATTTTAATCGGTAGTATCCGATTGTTCAGTAGATATGACTGTTGCAACTGAATTTGAGATACTAATTTCGTATATGGGCCTGCGTTTGTGACAATGTCAATCTCATATCGTCCTCACCGTTCTCAAGAGATGAACTAGCCTCAGGCTAAAAATCTCTAAAATAAAGAAAAAAAAAAAAAAAAAAATCCTCACCGTTCAATCTTTTTTTTTGACTTGGTCTTAATTTGGAGAAGAGTTTGATAACCGTTCTCGCAGGATCATCAATGGTGGCTTTGGGGTGTGGTTTGTCCATGGAACACCAGAACTGTTTCAAATCTTTTCTGTCACTTTGTTGGCTTGGTACGAACACAGAACCAACCGGGTATAGTGTCCAGATCTTTACGGCATTGATAAAACGGCAGAATCGTTTCCTGATGGTATTTTTAATGGTGGCGTTGAATCTGATAACTTACAATAACTTTTTATAATCCTTCCACAACTACGAATACCCTGTTAAGTTGTATTTTTTTTTTTCGAACAAATTAGTCCACACAAAAAGCCGGGACAATCTTCATTTAGACATACCTCGATCCTGTCGGAGGATTATGCGCAGCGAGAGAGTAATGCTACAACGTATGTTGTCTGGAAGAAACGAGTAGGAACTAAAACTTTATTTTTACTGTTACATGGGGTCGTGTGCTGTAAGCTACACTGTATCAAATCTAGTCATTCAAATCATTAACTTTATTCGTTGCTGGCATGGTTGTGCCAACACTCCTTCTCAACGCATAGAAGTTTACATGACACCGAGTGACTCACGGTGCCGCTCCAGCTTGATCCTGTCCAGTGGCTTGGTCATGATGTCCGCAACCATTTGATCCGTTGGTAGATAACGGAGATCAATGACTCCACGTTGGCGTAGATCCTTCGTGAACTCGTGTTTTGTATCCATGTGTTTGGACCGGTGCTCCATGCGGTCCGACTCCACCATTTTTATACAGAACTGATTGTCCTCCCACACGACTATGGTGTCCGAGCTGTCCTCTGCAAGATCCTTGAGAAGCTTCTTCATCCATAGTAATTCCTGGCAGCCTTCCGATAGGGCCACAAACTCGGCCTCGGACGACAGGGCGACGCAATTTTGCTTCCGCGTGGCCCAGCTCACTACGCCAGCGCCGAACTTGATGACCTGACTGGAATTTAACTTCCGATCGCCTTCATTTCCGGCCCAATCCGCATCGACGAAGAACTCGAGACCTTCGGCTCCGCCACCCAGGTGCAGACGGAAGTTCTTGGTCCTCTTGAGGTACCTCAGTGTGCGTTTAGCTTCTGTCCAGTCGCGATCTGTCGGATTTGACACCTTCCTGCACAGCAGCGAAGTCCTGATGCTGATGTCCGGTCTGGTATTGACCGCGACATATAACAAACTGCCCACCAGCGAACGATAGGACGTGTTCGTTGCCAGGGCTGTCTCCTCCGTTTGTTTTATATAGCCTGGGTCAAGCGGTATCTTCGACGGCTTAGCGTCCCCATGTCCGAACCTTCCGAGCAGCTTCTCGATGTAGTTTCCTTGGTTCATGGTGTAGTGCCCGTCGACCTTTTTGATGTGGATTCCGAGAAATTGACGCAGATCTCCCAGAGAATACAGCTTGAAATGTTTCTCCAGGGCGGTCCGAATTTGCTCGAACTCCTTTTCCGAGTGGCAGAAGACGACCATATCGTCCACGTAAATCACGATGAAGCACCTTTTCCCGTCCTTGTTCTTTTTCACGTAAAGGCACGAGTCCGCCTTGCCGGGCTCGAAACCCATCTGCTTGAAGATGCCGTCGATTTTCGAATTCCAAACCCTCGCCGACTGTTTCAAGCCGTAGAGGCAACGCTTCAAGTGACACACCAAATTGCCGTCAGATTGGAATCCTGGGGGCTGCTTCATAAAGATATCTTCTTCGAGGTCGGCATAAAGGTAGGTGCACTTGATGTCCAGGTGTTTTGCCATCATGCCGTCTCGACTCGCGATCGTTAGTAGCGTCCTGAGGGTTGTTTGCTTCACTACTGGTGCGAACACCTCGTCGTAGTCCGTACCGTAGCGCTGTGTGAACCCTTGCGCTATCAGCCTTGCCTTGTGTCGTACAACTTGACCGGTCTCGTTCTCCTTCTCCTTGAACGTCCACTTGCAGCCGATCGCTTTTCTTCCAGGAGGCAGTTGCACCAGTTCCCAGGTCTGATTCTCGGCGAGTGCGCCGATCTCCTCCTCCATCGCTGCCTGCCAGACAGCCTTTTCGGGGCGTTGGACCGCTTCCTCGTACGTTCGTGGTTCCTTCACAAAATGCTTCGTCACGCTGGTCATCTCGTCGAACCGTTCCGGCGGGATACCTTTATTGGCCCGTTCGGATCTTCTGGGTTCGCGTTCGTGGTCATCCTGATCGTTGGCTTCTTCAATACCGCGCACAGGATCGACGTCAATGAAACCATCAAAATCTGCTTCGGACTCCGCAGTACCAAACTCGTCATCTTCATTCGGCAACGGGCTCGATTTTCTTCAGTACCGAGTCAAACACTATTATCTCCTCCTGGCTGCAGACAGGGGCCGGCTTCACGATTGGCTTCTTCTTCTTCTTATGACCAACCTCGGCAGGCACTTTCGATGAACCTGACGTCACGGCTCACTATCACTTTCCGCGTAGATTTGTCCAGGAACCTGTAGGCTTTGTGCTCTAGTGAGTACCCTACGAAGACGAGCTCCTTCGCAGTGGTCGTGAGTTTCTTCCGCTTTTCTTTCGGAACGTGAACCCACGCGCTGCACCCGAATACTTTCAGGTTCTCCACGTCCGGTTTGGTTCCCTCCTTTCTGTAGAAATCACGCAGCGTTTCTCCGGTATATTCTGCGCCTTGATCCGAGCGAATAATTTTCGGCTTCCGGCCGAAGTGGTTCTGCGCTAGCGCCACGTACTCCCGGATTTTGGAGGCCACCTCTGACTTGTGTTTCAGAAGGTACAGCACGCAGTAGCGGGAGTGAACGTCGATCACAGTTACGAAGTAACGGTACCCGCTGACGGATGGCACTTCGACCAGGCCGCACACGTCGGTGTGCACCAGGTCCATCGTCGCTTTCGTGCTTGATGATGACTCCTTCGGGAACGGAGCGCGGGAGCTCTTCCCTTTCAAGCAATAATCACATGGCTCTTCGATGCCGCACTCAAACACTTTCAAACCGCTTACCAAGTCTTCCTTCTTCATCCGGATGATCGCGGTCGGGTCCCTGTGCCAGACGTGCTGGCAGTCTTTGTTGTGGTGGCTGCTCGCCGACAACACGACCTCCTCCGGTTGCTTCAGCTGGTTCAGCCCACGCTTCAACGTTGCCGCGGCTACCGTCGTCCCGTCACGCAAGATTCGGCACCCTGGGCATCAAAAATCACTTCGGCGTTCTTCTCCACTATTGCCGGCACCGACAACAAGTTCATGGCAAGACCGGGTGTGTAAAGCGCGACACTTATGTTCATTTTTCTCGGTAGTCCATTTTCATCACACCAGTTAATCGTGCCACACCCTTCACTGAAACAACTCCGATCGGCAACTGTGTGGCTCGTCGCACCCGAGTCCACTACCCACGGCCTCGAACCGTTAGAACTTTCAAACGCGCCGGCGACGAACACGAACGAAACACAATCTTCCTTTTTCTTCTGTTGTTTTCCTTTCAGCTTCAGGTCGCCGTCCGAATCACGACCGCGCTGCGGGCACTCAAACTGCTTATGGCCCTCCTTTTTGCACCGGTGGCAAATTAGAGGTTTCTTCTTATTGTTCCGACCGTACACAGTTCCGACTTTCAGCACCAAATCTCCGGATGATCCTTGATGCTTTACGGCCTCGTCCAGCAGCTTCCGTTTGACGAGTTCGAGGGTGAGGTCGGTGTCAGACTGGCTCTCTAGGGCGGTCGTCAGCGTGTCGTAGGAACTCGACAGACTTCTCAAAACCATCGTGACCTGAAGATTTGTCTTCAATTCCTGTCCCGCATTCTTCAGCCTCTCGAACAAATCCTCAATGGCAAAGAGATGCTCCGCCATATTTTCACCATCCGCAAAACGTTTATCGCAGATCTGCTTCAGAAGCGAAACTTTTAAGGTTAGGGTTGCTGTTTCTTGGTGCTTCTTTATCTCGTCCCATGCTGCTTTCGCTGTCTTGGCCTTACGGATCAGCCCGTGTTGGTTATCCGAGATCAGGAGGCCGATGGTGGACTGAGCCTTGGAGTCCAACGCGTTCCAGGTGTTGTCGGTTTCCCCTTGCTTCTTGACGCCGGGGTCGACGCACCGCCACAAATCCTCTCGAGTGAGGAGCAATTCCACCTTAAATTTCCAGGTGGGATAATTTAAATCGTTCAATTGTTGGACGTTGAACCGATTGCCATCGATTTCCGCGCGAAAACTTTCGAAACTTTGCGAAAAACCGAACAATTTTCGCGAAAGAAAAAAAAAAACCAAGAAATCTCAAAATGGCGTTGAATTTTCTTTTGTTCTTCCACTCTCTATCACGCACAGGCCCATAACCTGTCGGAGGATTAAAGGGCGAACACGAAATTATTGCGACACCGTAAATGTCATGCCAATTTTCTTATAATGTTTAGAATCAAACCAAAATTTTAGGGTAGTTTTATACATATATTTACTTCAAAAATCAAAAGAAAAGTTAATCGATGGAGCCTTGAGCGTAAA